TGGCACCTATAAGAGATAAACGTATATCATTAGCAATTTAAAAAAAAATTGTTTGCAATCATTTCTGAGACAAACAAACAGACGAACGAACACCGTACTATCATAAACTTCATTGTGTGTATATTTTGGCATAATTGTGATGGTGTTATAAAAAAATATAATGAATTAAGTTAGTATCACACTAAACGTAAGGTCACTGAGTTTTGTAAAGTAATAATATCAAGATTTGACAGCATACCTATAAGACATTATTCAATTACAGTAATTCTTCAGCAATCGATTGATTGATTGATTATACGTATGTTGTTTAACGTCCCTCTCCAGAATTTTTCACTCACATGGAGATGCCACCACTCGCCGGTGGAGACTGTAAATTTTTGTCCTATACTTTGGCATTTATCGCAATTGAGCAGTGGGGAATCTTTTTTATGCCAGCATCTTCTGCGACAAGGGACCTCGATTTATACGATCTCATCCAAAGGACCGGTCTCCACGTCCCACAGTCGAAGTTCATAATACCGAGATATTTTATTTTTTATTTTATTCTATTCTTTCACAAGTTTGTTGCAGCAGATTTACTTAAAGATCATACTTCAAGATCATTTCGAACTCAGGCTACTTAATTGCAGTGCATACAGCGTCAAGTGATTTTGATTGACAGGTCAACACACGTGCACTTCGTGTGATACTTTTTAAGCTGAAAAATATACAGGATGTGACCATGACTGACTATGAAATCAGAAAACATCTAATAAAGAATGGGTGTGACCGATAAAGAACTAATTTTTGCTCTGGATCGGGATTAAGAGGGAATCTCTCCTCTCTCTCTCTCTCTCTCAGACATGTAAATTGAACATTTCATAATTATAAAATATGAAATTCTGTATACATGTAAATGGTAATGTTATTCACATGTTCCAGATTTAAATCTAAAACGAATATATAATTCAAATTCAAGACGGGGGGGGGGGGCTTCAAAGGAATTAGATAATTTTATGAATTACAAGGAAAAGTACGGACGTCAGTTGCATGTACATGATTATATATCATTGCATAAAATTGTGTTCATTCAGATATACTTATCCCACATATCAACAGACTTGTACAATTTTTTTATCATGTTTTTTTTTTTTTTTCAAAAGAAACATATAGCGTACCATTATTTCACACACTCTTTAACTCTTTGAGTATTTCACAAGAATCCAAGAATCGCCTTTTCACATCTTTTATAATTCCTTGGGTATATAGAGTATAGATCATGTGTCATAAATAATTTAACCTTTTATCAAATATATATGTAATAACCAAATCTAATCTATAGATTGATTTTCTTTCTTTTCAGTGGCAGATATCAATTTATTTATAAAGGCTTTAAAACAGTACTGTATTACAATTTTCTATCGCTTAATTCCTTTTTTGAGTGTATGTAATATTTTTTAATATCGAAAGTAAAACTCGGAAATCGGGATAATTTCGCATTCAGATCATAGAGAATAATAAATCGTCTGCATTATAGAAGGCTTATAACTATCGTATTCTGAACTTAATATACGAAATAGATAAAACTGCATGCCTGTCCATCACTATAAATGTATATTCAGTGCTTATAATATATTTACTTGAATTAGCTACCTAGCATATATATATTAATTTTTTTTTTTTTTTTAGATATATTCATGTGTAAATTAACTAACTGTCAATACAGACTTACACTTCACTGGCAACTTCAAACTTTACATGCACTGGAAGCGGTAACCAACGTCCTCTTAAATTTTGAAGAGTGAATATAGAACGTCTAAATATTTTGATATGGAGAGTGTATATGTCTCTAACGTCATCGATACTATTTCCGCCTTTATCTCGAAAGTTCTATTCTCACTTACAAGTCAGAGTTATCTTTCTTTGCCCATTGTCTACACACTAGGTAAATAGGGAAAATGAGGGTACCGAAAATCTAGAAAATGCGCAATCCAATTTTAAAACAAATTAAATATTTGGTATTTGTAGAATAACCTCTGTTATACATAATAATATCTTGAAAAAATATTAAAAAACAAAAAAGTTGAAAATTGACCAAACACAAGTTCACTTCCGGTTCGGACAGGAAGTACCGGAAACACACGAAAACAACTTCGAAACAAAGAGAATGTCATGATCTAATACCCCTGTAAATTTCACATCTTTACCTCAAACTGTTTCCGAGAAAAATTCCGGACAAAAGTCCATTTAAAAATTGGAAATTCGGCCGTAACTTCGGACCGGAAGTGAATTTTTCAAAAAACGGAATTTTATATAAACTTCATATATCAGCCTACTATCATGTGAAAAATTGTGAAAATCTATCCAACCATCTCTGAGTAATCGCGCTCACAAAATTTGGGAGGAATAATAATAATAATAATAATAATAAAAAGAAACAATACAAACACTATAAGTCTTCCGTTGTGAACGGAAGACTTAAAAAGAAACAATACAATCACTATAGGTCTTCCGTTGTGAACGGAAGACCTAAAAAGAAACAATACAATCACTATAAGTCTTCCGTTGTGAACGGAAGACTTAATAAGAAGAAGAAGAAGAAGAAGAAACAGAGTAAAAACATTATGTTCCCAAACTTCGTTTGGGGAACATAAATATGAAACAAACTTGAAGGTGATCGCATAGACGTTTATATATTTCAATTTCTTTGAGACAGAGGAAGGTTATCCTGCATTATTCACGAAAAGAGCTTTACATTTTTTCTACAAACAATTCCGAAACACGGATGAACATTTCATTTAACAAAATATGAATAAGTTCGATACACACCAGAGGCTTTAATACCACCAGGTCCATGTAACCCCGGAGGGTCAGCTGTTTTCAATGCACGATGGAATGCAGAAGACAAATTTTTCGTTGAATGTAAGATATTTCTCAATCATTTATAAAGTTTGTAATATAATTATATTGATATTTTTATGATTATTAAATGTAAGAGTCATAACATAAAAATACAAATGGTATGTACCAGTGGTAAATGCATAAGGGAATTCCACGGAGCTCGTCAAGAATTGAAGTAAAAGAAAAATACGAAACTGTTTCAGAGAAAGTCCTCGTACAAAAAAAGTATATGTATAGACAGAGGGACATAGTGATTAAGGCATGCCGAGATATACTACACTACTGTAAACTTCGTTTGTAGAATGGTACATGCATAGAAAGTAGTTCTCTTGGGTGTTACTGTTGTTGTAGAAAATGTTGTAATTATCACAATGATATGCATGTAATATGTGTTCATGTTTTTTTTAAATAATATTTGTTATTGCACTAATAGTTGGTATTGATGTTGTAGAGGTACTATATGGTAAAGTACCTGTATAAGCTATTGTACTTATTCTTTTAGTAGTAATTATACACTTGTAAATGTTTATCATGCTGCAATAATAATTTGAGATTACAAGTTGAAGTGAAGCGGTCTTATTTAAACAATAGTTGTTACATCAACTACTGAATAGTTAGAGTAGAATTTCTTTTACACTGTCTATTGAAGGAGAAAATAAAGTTTACATTCTAGTGTCTATTGAAAACAAAAAAATACGGTAGAACTTATATTAAATATTGAAGGCGTAAAATAAGACCCTCTATTTAAAAAAAAAAAGGTTATAATTCTATTGTCTTTTGAATGCGAGGTTCTAAGACAAATTGTAATATCGGTTAAAGAGGAATAGCAAAATTCCTTCTGTCCTTTGAAGACAAGCTCAATCGAGATATTGTAATATCCCTTGAAGGAGACACATGTATAGAAAATATTATTAAAGAAGTAAAAATAGGAATTATACTGTCTTTTAAAGAAGTGAAAATAGAAATTCTACAGTTTTTTAAAAGAAGCATTTAATATACTAAGTAGAAATTCTACTGTCTGTTAGGAATAGTTGGAATGAAAAATGTGGAGATAACGAACAGTATCAAGCTCAAAAGTCTATTAAACAATACAAAATAGGAGCATAGCGAACACGGACCTCCAAAACATCAGAGGTGGGATCAGGTGCCATGGACAAGTGAGCATCCCCTGCCGACCGGTCAAACCCACCGTGTGCCCCTTGTCATGAGCGGGAAATAACGGAAAAATCCGTCGACAATTCAGTGTGTATGTAATGGCCTAACAATTAGCTAGTATGAAAAACATCAGTAAGCATTTAACTCAATGATAAATTGTATTTGCTGACAAGCTCATTGTATCGACCATAGAACTTACGAAATGGTGATTTTAAACGAGACTGCTGATATACTTGTTTCATCAACTTGTTTGTCAATAAGTTACATCTGTTGAATGAGAGCCAATGGTATAAAATCTTCTCTCTATATTTGTTTGTGGTGTTATTGCCATAAGTAACCTCGGTTGATATTTGGTTCAGCTGGAGCATTCACTGAATCTAAGAAATCCTTTATGATTCATATACGAAAAATCACGCTTTGCACCAATCGATTCTAGCTATTAATTTGCGCCTACATAACATAGATTCATTTCAAATAGTTTTTTCAAACTTTTAACTACTTGTAATTCCTGATCATTTTAATACGACATTACTTACATAGGTACGTAAAAAATAATCACAAGTACTAAATTCTTCGCTTTTCAATAGACGTATTTGTGCCTATTTCAAAGAATTCTTTAAAAATAAAACCATTTGAAAACATAGGCATAATTTTTCTATCGCTTTTTATCCGACATACCTATGCAATCGGTATTTGACAAACTGCCTTTTGATTTTGTTGACTTTCCAGCTTGGCACTTTGCACACGTAGCATCCTCTTCAAATTCTTTGTATGTACCCATAGGACAGTCAAGACATTTGCTTCCAACATAATCTAAATATGTTCCTGGCGGACAGGGCACTATCAAATTTATCGTGAAATGTAAACAATGTAATATTAATTTGAAATTGCAAAATTACAATGAATGGTAATTCATAAATCTCTCTCTCTCAATCTCTCTCTCTCTATATAAATATATATCTTACCACACGAAATTGTTGAAGATTTCCAAGCAAATCCTGGTTCACATGTGCCTTTCATTTCCTCCATTTTGAAACTTTCGGTGTCGACTTTTATATTGCCTATATCAAAGCTGCCGTTCTTAGCACTCTCCTTCACGACAGTCATGTAATTGTTTTGAATATTTTGAACAATATGTTCAATATTCGTAGAATTGGAACTTAGGAAATGTGTATGCAATGCAAATTCAACTTTCAGTGCAGCAGTATTTCCGGTTGATCGCCTTCTTCGACTTGAAATTTCACCACATGAAACAGAAACATTAGCGATATTGCAAGAAATTTCATTGGGGCATATTCCATCAAAACCTCCATTATCTTGCATATCCCTTATATTTGTGATAAAATTTGTTCTTATCTCCTCCTGCACTGTTATGTTGTTGCAGTCTCCAGTGTAGTAATAGAAATTCATCAAAGTTTTTGATTCAGACGGAAGTCGTTTAACTGAAAATAAATGAAACAGTCAACTACTCAGGAGGTTTCATAAATAAATAATAAAATAATTACATTTTCAACAGTGAAATACTGTGATTTATTTATTGAATAAAAATGATATTCTTAGCAAATCTGTTACTAAAATCCATCTTACAATGTTTTCAATATTTCTTACAATTGCTAAACTATGACGTCTCAACTGCTCAACTATGACGTCACATCCTGTGATACTGTATTAATTGAGAAAAGACAGAGGCAAAGGGAAAAATCAAAGAAAATGTAATAAACAGAGAATTCCATGAGTTGTACATGTAGTTTGATATAGAATTTATTTAACCCGTGAGACAGTATTATTTATTTTTTTTTACAATTGTACTAGTGCATCGCACTCGTGAAGATATCAAAAATCCCGTCCCATTCTTCAAATAAATTCTATATCCAACTACAAAACAAAACATTAAATCCCCTATATATATATATATATATATATATATATATATATATATATATATATATATATATATATATATATATATATATATATATATATATATATATATATATATATATATATATAGGATATTCAATGTTTTGTAGTTGGATATGGAATTTATTTCACGAGTGGGACAGGATTTTTGATATCTTCACGAGTGCGATGCACTAGTACAATTGTAAAAAAAAATAAATAATACTGTCTCACGGGTTAAATAAATTCCATATCCAACTACAAAACATTGAATTTTCTGTTTATTACATTTTCTTTGATTTTCCCTTTGTCTCTGTCTTTTCTTAAGTAACACAGCGTTATAGGCTGTGACGTCATAGTTGAGCGGTTGAGATGTCATAGCTTAGCAGTTATGAGACGACCTATTGAAAACATTGTAACAAGGATTTTAGCAACATATTTGGGAAGAAATTGATAGTTTTAGTCTCTATCAAGATAGTTTAGTCACTATCTCTATCTAATTACAAGCCAGAATTTTTTTTTACTTACGTTGATATCCTTTCACACTGTGAGAGAATATCACTTTGGTATCCTTCACACTGTGAGAGAATATCACTTTTATTCCATAAATAAATCACAGTAATTCACTGTTGAAAATGTAATAAATAAATATATATATTGTATTGAGGATGTCTACTATTATTCGTGCACTCGACTATCGTTCGGTCATACCGACTATCCACTAATATTATTTAGTCGGTAACTCGTTGAAATATGCATGCTACTCTATTGATAGTAATTTTAATTTCAAGGTAATAAAACTGTTTTCAACTTAGTTATAATTCCTAAAGTCTTCTCGTGATTTAAACTCGCGAAATGGTAAGCCTTTTAAAAATTATTGTTCTCAGTAAGGAAATCATCTTTATGTTGATTTTTTGATCCTCCAAACTGAAACGTCCATATCCCTAAATCGTTTTGCAATTTAAAACCAATGAACGGCTAATTCTGAGAGTTCAAACACATCAGAATATCACGGGATACCCAAACTAATTGTTCAATAAGAAACTTGTATTATGTTCAAATGTCAATCATTCTGTCTAATGAACTTCTTGATTAAATTCCCACCAAGTTGGCAAACTTTTCTTTGTCCAATTCTATCTGCGCAATGCAGAGTGACAAGATCGATATTTATTATACATGTATTCGACATTTTACAGTCGCTGTAAAAAAGAGTTTCTCGTTGATACGCATTTACCGCCAGTTTTTTGGAACATGTAGATGTAAGTAATTTTAACTTGAATTTTCTAGATAGGAAACCGTCTGTCAACGAATCTGCTAGGGGCAAGTAACCGTTCTGTTGTAGTACTATATCAGAAAATGAAGTTTTTGTCCGATATTAGTGTTTCCCTTTTAATTTGGCACGAAGATTAACATTAAACCATTACCCCCACCTCTTTACAAACACACACGAGGAAAAGCTACCTAAGTAACAAAGGATTTGAAAATTAAAAAAAGTTAAGGGTGAAATGTTTTGATTTTTATACATACATGTAGTATCTATCATTTATTCTTCATTTCAAAATTGAAAGGAAAATTGTGAATAGCTAGCGCTTTCATTGAATTGAAACGGGGCATACTAAAACACAAAAATAGGAATGATAAGCTTAAGTTGCGATAAGCTTACAAAATATCAACCAATAATTTTTGTATACTGTACGTGTTTTGTGACATTGAACACTTCATACAATATGAAAGAGTTTATCTTTTTCCTTTTTTTATTTCATTTAACACAAAACATTGTATAATTTTTATTCAATTAACCTTTCAATTACATTATTCAAGATTTGGGGGATGGTGGCGGTACCCCCTTATTTGATCATAAGTATAAGATTCATAAATCATTATTTTAGTATGAGATATCGCATTAATTATACCTAAAATATAGCTAAAATAAGTCTAAAACTACTTCCAAAAACTACAAAAACTTGAGAGCATCTGGGGGGTTTTCCCATTGGCTCCCATCCCTACCCCTAACTGGTTGGGAACCCCCCTTTTCAGGAATCCTGGATCCGCCACTGTTATTTACCGTTACATGTATTAATTAACACAGTGAATAGCAAAAAGGAATAACTTTTTTACTTCTAGTAGAAAATGATTGTACTAAAGAACCTTTCCCATGCAATTTCCAGAACACTTGACCAAGTGGTTAAGAATTTCAAAATTTTGTATAAATATACCTCCTTTTTATACAACTTTGTACTCTGTTTGTCTCCAAAATTTGAAATGATGACTGTGGAAAATACCCCACTTCCCGAGAAAAAACACACATACTTATAAATAAACAAATATTAGCTTATAGAATCTGAAAATAAAAGTACTAGCTACAACAAGTTTTAAGCATTTAACCATATTTTAAGAAAAATAATTTTAGTTTACAAAAGGTTAATTATACAGTGTTCATTAAAGGACAGATGAAATTCTGGTTAGTCACACAATCACACTTACATCTATATATTTGCAATTATCGGTCTGAAGACTGAAATATCTTAAAACTTGTGAATTAAAAAATACTTATTAAGCAGTTTAGTGGCAAAAATTATATTTGTGGATCTATCATTAATTTTTCAACATTACAAAAATACATGATTACGTTTACAATTTTAAAGACGTGGTTATCTGTAGAATTATTAAAGCATGAATTAATTAATATTAACCATTTGATTTGCAATTATCTTGAAGTGTGGAAAAAATGACTCATTCAAGTGTCCAGCGATGCAAAGCAAACAATGTGCTCTAATTAGAGTAAATTAACGGTTTAGCATTAGAAACTGAAAATCGTACATAGTTTGGAGGTTCATTTGGTTTATTGGTTTATAAATTTATCTTATAGACGAGGATGATCTTTACTGTGGCGCTAATATTTTAACTGTGGCGGAACTACATGTAAGGCGCTAATTTTTCAACTGTGGCGCTAAGGAATTTAACTTCGGCGGAGCCGCCACGTTAAACGGCCCATGAAAAACCCTGTAACGCACCTTTATGAGTGAAAAATTCTCGAACGGCACGTAAAACAACATACAATCAATCAGTCAATCAACCCAACTAATTTTAGAGCAAATATATTCTAAATGACATTTAACCAAAATATATCTTAAGGTATCCGAACCATATTAGGACCTAATTTGGTAAATTTCAAAAATGTAAATACCTAAGCAGTAATTATTCAATGAAGATTGCAGTTAGGTCTATTGGGACGAGCACATTTTTGAAATGAAAATTTAGATGCTACGAATGTCACGAAATACTGTGGTGGAAAGATATATTTAATCATTAGGGTTAAAAAATCAATTGAAACTAGACTTTTACCTGATAAAATTTTAAGATTTAATTTTTATTGATTAAATCAAAGGAGGATAACTCTTCAAAGACAGGGCAAGGTCATAAATTAGGGCATATTCCACTCTTACATAGTGAAACTAAAACGTGAAAATTATATCTAAATATTCGGTCTTTACATATCTGTTATGCATTCATTTTCCTTGGATCTGAGGCTATTATGGGTCGGATATCTTAAAATGAACTTTAATTTCCACCCAAAAAATTACAGTATAGTTTTATTTAAGGATTCATAACACACACAAAAATTTGATGCATGGATATTTTTTGACTGAATTTGAGTAGAAATAACATAATTATGCAATAAATCCCTAAAATATAAAGAAATTGTAAGTTTTCTTTGGTACTTAGATACTGTATGCGACTTTGTGTCATTTTCTATGTAATTCTGTACAAAATTTTCCACATATTTTTAACTTTGTGACAAAATCTTGCAAAATTCTCCCACTTTACTTGACAAACATTATTCAGGTTACCTATCTGAATATACATATAAAACTATGAGAAATATTGCTGATTTGTGAAAAAAGTTTGTGTTACTTATCCTTGAATTCAAAACAAATCCGCAACAATGATCCTTCTTTTACTCAGACATGGAATTTTACTTTACCTGTGCAATTTGGAACAATATTGGAGGGAATAAATGTTCCCTTTGTTTCTGAACAGACGTATCGACCAGAAAACGCCTTCCCCCCTGTGCCAACAGCTCCATGTGGGATATCGTACCCATCCATGCATTGCATTTGACAAAATAAACCGTATATCCAGGCATCACAGGCAATGGCACCATTGGTTGGCGCTGGGAGAGGTTCACAGGGATTCTCTACAACAAATGCTCATTTCATATCAATTTGTTTTTATTGGTTGATAATTCAGCAGCAAAAGGGACAGGAACACAGTCAAACCACTTATTATAAACGCTGATGCACTTGAATTGGATTTGTAAAATAATAGAAATACTCAAGTTTACTTAAATTTATATTCCACCACTGATGTTCTTAAAGGTCTGTGTTTGCGCTGCTTCAAATTTATATTGTTTCAGTTGACCTTCTGAGCTTGATTACTGTTCGTTATCATCATATTTCAATCTATATCCTATATAGATTTACTTGTCTTATTCATATTTTATATACTTTCTGTTCACAATCATATTTGATCAGCTTTGCACGACTGATGCAAATGCTTAAACTTTATAATGTAAATGGATAATATCTATGCGATGAATCTACTTTACAAATGAAAAATTTTGAAAAGGAAAAAAATCATCTGACCTTTCATAACATTGATAATTATTAAATACAGTCAAAAGTCACATTATTTATAGACTTAATTATTTAAAAATCTTTGTTTTCTCTTTAATTGAAAAAATGAAACTTTACACTTACTTTTACAGTATGGCTTCTTTTGACCGTAATTCCATTCACCTCTCACCGTTGTCTGGCCTTTTCTCTCGCAATGTATGGTTGTATTTCCTACCACTTTAAAATTTCCACAGTTAATATGGCATTCCACTCCAGAAGATAAACCATTGGGGCAGTCTACATTCATGTACCGATCTGGAAGAATTGGCCATCCACAAGATATTTCTGAAATAAAGACGAATAAACAATACTTTCAAAGCAGACTTAGAGTAAATTGTGTTTGAAATGAAATGAAGGATGCATGTATATTATACACAGGACAACCATGCACGATGGCATACTTTCTGTCGTGCGTCAAAATATCTGTGTTATTTTCTGCTAACAATATTTAAAAGCTATACAGGTGGACTACACCTTCATGCACAATTCTCTTCATTGGTTTGATAACTGCAGTTTTCATGGTCATTTCAATTCAAATAATATGTAAAAAAAAATCCAAATGAATAATTTCTAAAACGAGGCAAGCTATCGACAAACAATTACCTTGACAGCAAATACAACCTATCATTAAGCCAACTGCTGACTGACATTTTTCATACTAATTGTTCGGCCATTATTTGTTATCTACATGTACATGTACCTCATGCATAGCTCTGATCCTTCGACGTATTTGGCTCCAGTCTTTGGCACCCCTTTTTCAGCTCTTCAATTTTTTTAATACAAATATTCAATAACAAACGTAAATGGTTATCTCTTATTGCCCGACATTTTTCATGGCAAATGCATAAGAAAATAAATTACGTAATGAAATACATTTTTTCCACCTGGATCTGTTGGTCTTAAGATACATCCTTTTCTAGATATTTAATGAGTCTTGGCATATTACATGTACATGTACATATAAACATACTAATTACTCTGTGTAGTGAGTTTTGATTTTGAGGGTGTTGCCAAAGATTAAACAATCTATTGGGTTTTGAATTTTGGTTAGAATTAATAATCATATCTTTTGTCAAGAACAAAGGCGTTAAACACTTAATTTCGAGGAAAACAGCAGATGGAAGGTCGTACGTATCACAAGCGATTGATATTTTCTCCCCCGGAATAGGAAGCTCCATTGTTTTCCCCAATTGAAACATGGTTCCTATTTTTCAATAAATAGTAAGTTCAAACCTTGTAGATGAAAGAACAATCCGTAGTAATAGCACTTATCTGAAATGTTATCCATACATGTGTTATCATCGTCTGTGAATTTCTGATGATAACAAATATCAATTTAGAATCGGACGTTGGTTTAACCTTAACTACAATCATTGAATTCTAAAAACATACCTTCAACCGTTACCAAGAAATTGCAATCGTAGTTTGGGTTTCCAGATGAATCTATTGCTATGTACTTTATCTTTGTGCTTCCAACATAGAACTTTGAACCATTCCGAGGTCCTTCTGTGTGTTGGATAGTCACAGAGTCTCCCGAGTTGTCCACAGCTCTTGGCATAACCCAAGTGACATGTGTGAAATTGGCGCGTGCATCAGCAAAAACTTTTATGTTTGAGGGACAAAACACAAAAACAGGACTCGTAACATCTGTTGGCATAAATATATTACTTTTAGTGTGTTTATTTGCTAAAGCAGTCGGTTGAACATTATTATTTTTTAGAAATAATTGAATGCATACTTCTGTCACGAAAATGTAACTCCAGTCTTGCAAGCATTCTTTATTCGGCATATGTTAAGTATTGTTTCTAGATTATCTTTTTTGTGTCAACATTGTATGTCAACATTGTTCAGATCATAATTTATTTCGTCTTTTTAAGCATAAACAGTGACTGTCGTAGTATAAATTATTATAATATAAAATATTATAAATAATTATATGCACGGCAGTAACTTTTTTCATGTACACTGTACATCATATGAAGATATACCTTTACAGTCAGGTAATTTTGATGACCAGGACTTGTCAGCTTGGCAAGTGACACTGTTGATTCCTGGTGACAATGTGTACCCCTGTTTACATTCTGCGTGGCATTGCGATTCATATGTGTAAGCATTACAAGAAACTGCGCCATTTTTCACCTCCAGTTTACTGTCATGTTTATCGCAAGTTATCTCTGTGTAATCAAAGGTCATTAACATTGAATTTTTGAAGTTGACTATATATATATCATATCGGTACAAAAGAAAACTTAATATAAAATTCAAGATCTAGTAAGACCTGTAAGGAACATACAGTTTCTCAAACTTGAAAAATGAATTTCTTTAATAATGCTTAATTATCACATCTTTCTAAAATAAGTTGTAAACTTTTGTGCCTCTCTAATCGAAGATTCGGGGGCATATAACTTTTGCCCTGTCCGTCCATCTGTCTGTCTGTTTGTCCGCAAAAACTTTCATCTTGTCCATAACTTCTGATTAGTTGGAGCTATGCCTCTCATATTTCACATGTGTATTTCTTGTGACAAGACCTTTATTTGGTTACCATCATACTTGATCTTTTGACCTTGGAGTTCGACCCACTTTTGCAAAATTTTATCCAACTTTAACCTTGGCCATTACTTTTGAACAGTTAGTGCTAGGGCTTCCATACTTAACATGTGTAATCCTTGTGACAAGACCTTCCTTTAGATATCAACACCTTTGATCCTTTGACCTTGACCTTAATTGGAGTTTGACCAACTTTTGAAAAACTTTAATGACCTTAAAAACGGTTGGTGCTAGGACTTTTATATTTTTAATGGGTATTTCTTGCGAGAAGTCCTTTCCTTGGGCACCATTATTTTTGACTTTGACCTTGATGTTTGACTTACTTTTGAAAAACGTTAACCTTTATATCTGGTGTATTTCTCGAGAGAAGACGTTACTTTGGGTACCAAAATATTCATTTGCATTTGATAAAGTTTAACCTTTGCTATAAGTTGCCAACCGTGGCATCAGTGTTTCACAAACAGTGTTTCTTGTTCTGTTTACTATACAAAAATGCTTAAAAATTGTTTTAAACTATCATTTTCAAAATTTAGAAAATCAGCTATTAATTTTGGACTTTTAAAAATAGTATTAGATTGAATCATATGAAGAAATAAAAGTATTTTCACGACATTTAATTTGAAATGTGAAGGATAATCTGGATGCCATCATTCAATCTGTAACAATACCTTTCAGAATGTACAACGGTTTTTGAAGTCCATGCTCTGACCTTAAAGTTTGACCTACTAGTTGTCAAAAATATTACCTTTCGTGATAGCTTTTGCATGAGAGAATTAAGACAGGGATTAAATATATCACAAGTGCACTACCTGTGATAAATACCTTAATTTCCAAACGTATTAATGATTTTTTTTTTTACTTCATGATATAATTTTCAAAAACTTTAATTTTGGCCGTAATTTTTGATCTAGAATATATTTCTATAAAAATTTATATTTTTTTAATAGCATGATGAATAGATAAGAAAAGACGAGACATTTACAATATGCAATAAAACAGGTATTCTACCTGAGTAGAATTTCATTTCTAAAAATAAATGTGTTAGTAAAGGAAATAATTCTTTATCTTTAAGATAAACTTAAGCTTAGAAAGTTGAAGATTTTAATTTTAATTCCATAATAAACCAATTTTACTGATTTACAAAATATCGAAACTTTTTTGTTTATCAAATCAGTGAAATTTCTGATTACATTCATGGCATTTGTTTTTATACTAAATTTGACTACAGAATATTCTGTCTACATGATCAATACATAGGGCTCACGGTGGGAAAGACCAGTCGACAGGGGATGCCTATTCCTCATTAGGAATTTCCAGGAGACTGTTTTTTATGCCCCTGTCCACCCATGAATACATGAAGTGTTACTCAGCACTTTGTTTAGGTCCCCACTCCCCACCCAGTGATTATCATTAAAACACATTGAAGAAAATATAAAACAAATAATGAACTTACTCTTGCAGGGTTCAATTTCCCCATTAAATGATCCAGAAGCCAAACAAACCAGTGATGCGTTTGTTTCACCCGATAATGTTTCATAACCAGTATAACAGCTTAGATGACAATTGTGGCCATATATTGTTGGATACGATTCACATTGTGCCTCAATATTTGCGGGCTCCAAGTCATCTTTTTTAAAAGTTGGACAAGTTATCACTAAAAAGTAATAAATATAAATACAAATATAAGTACTAAAAAGTACATACTTTCTATCCTATCTACAAAATATGTCCTGTGATGATTTTTTCCTATATATTATCGCTCTTGATAAAGTAGAATTGAAAAGCCAAATGACCTAATAGTTAAGAGCTATCCTACAAAGGAGCGTAATTCTAAAATGAAACAGCCCAAGGGCCTCAACTCTCACGTAGATAAAATTAGTTATTCAGGTTCAATCAAGGGTGTACGGGGATTGACCCCGGGTTTTATTCCATACACCCTGACGCCGATGGGGCCTGGATAACGAATTTATTTTACTATGTAAACAAATAAATTCTTGGAAGAACTTTACCAGTTCCAACACTACTGGCCAGAAAAACGCGCTAAAATATAGTATCACCGTAAGCGACTTCAATATATACATGTATGAGATCGCGTGAGCAATCCAAAAAATAAAAAATACGATGTTTTTGGCCTTATTGTATAAAGTTTTGTTCAAAACTGCGATTTAAACGAAGTTTGTAACCTTGTTTTCTGAAAAAAAAAATTACTATTGTTTATTCAGTGAAAAATCGATAAAAATAATTGTCAACAAAGCGCGTGCGCATGCATGCCTAGTAACGTTTATTTCGAACATACGCATTTTCTCATGTTAAGAAACGAATAGGATCCTTAATTGAATAAAGATCTTGCCAAAATATTCATTCGGAAATTAAGGTATTTTTTCTTTAAAAATCTAAAAGAACAATACACTAATCATAATCTCCCGGATGGTATGCTAGACTAACCCTAATCGTAAAATAATGTGCGAGTACTAATCATACTCTCTTCGATGGATGCGAGTTTTATCCTAATCAGTCGAATACTTGTGCAAGAACTAACCCTTATCTCTCAGTGGGTTGCAAGACTAACTAGTCAGGTATACATGTACGTACCGTGCAAGACTATCCCTTATCAGTCGAGTGACGTTAATCTTATGTCATAGCGAGTGAGCGCGCGGACCTTGCGGATCTGAGGATCGGTAAAGTAAAATTCAACCAATTTTTTTTGTAAACCCAAATCCATGGTATTTTAAACTACCGATTAGATTCACTACGTTCTATAATTCATCATTAAGTCATGTTATTTGCTTTTTTGTGATAAAGGAATACACCTGTGAAATATGAATCAAGGATATCAACAATCTCGTTTAAGGACAAACGCAACGTATCTTACCGAATGCTATTTTTTTTTTCAAGATATTCTTAATTTAAGATTAAAATGCCATCAGATACCAGGGGTTTTGAAAATATATCATTGATGAAAATTCAAGTACAATTCAAAAATATATATACAAAAATTACTAGACATACATGTATATTCTAGATGGTTTGTTTATCCAAAATTGTTTTAGAAGAAAATACTGTATAACAGCATATATAAACATTAAAATGTAGCACACATTTCCTTCAAGTATTGGAACTTTTCAACTCTAGGGAAAAAGACAATAAAGTTCAAACTACGTTGCATATGTCCTTAAAGCTGAACATGATTCATAAAGGATTTGTCCGCCATATCCGATGGGTCTCTCGCTATATCTGAGGAGCCCTATATAAAGCCTCTCACTTAGTCACTGTTCAGTGTAATCAATCGTCACCGTTGTAGACGGACGAATGCTATACAGCACTCGGTATCAACAAAAAATAATTGGGTACTTCTTCTAATGCAGGAGAGTAAGATACCAAAGAAACTTACAACAGTTGCAAAGGTCAGTGCAGTATACAAACAATTAAACGCAAATACACATAACTACAATAAAATGTAAACAAAGGTAATGCAAGATAACGAGCACGAACACGGATCGCCATTCCAAGCCGATACCCGTGACAATAAAGCAGTCAGGTGTAACAAATGCGAAGAGTATAGTCCGATGCTGATATCGTAGCAGGCTTCTAAGTGGCCTCTAAAATTTAGGCGCCAGCTGGCGCCTTAACAAAAAAATTTAGTCGCCAATGCAAATTTTTAGTCGCCAGGCAATTTTTCTAAGGCGACAACTTTAAATGTTTATAGAATATAGGGTCCCATGACGTGACTAAGAAAACATGACATGTCCATTGCTAAAGATAATTTCTTCTTCTGTTAAAATTCTTTTCGCTTTTTCAGAAAAATTGTTAAAAATGTGAAAATTTCCGGAATTCGAAGATCGCCAAGTCAATTTAAAATGGTCGCCAATTTGGTGACTTATGGAAAAATTTTAGGCGCCAATCAAAAATTTTAGGCGCCATGGCGACTAAATTAGTCGCCAATTAGAGCCCTGCGTAGATAGTAATATCAAATATGGCGTTTGCCTATTTACGAGTCGTGTTCAGCTTTTAAGGTCAAGATCTAGTAAATGAAAAGAGCCTACATATTTCTCAAACTTGAGAAATAAATTCCTTTTATGATGCTTTACAACTATAGCTCGGTCAAATAAGGTGTATCGGGGCATAATTTGCAAGAAAACGAGACGAAAAACCATCTTGTAAACTGTCATTTTCAATGAAAAATTAAGAAAGCCAGTCACGAATATTGGAGTTTTTTCCATATCAGACGAAGGAAATGTATTCAGTTTGCCTACAGTCTCTCAGAAAACGGTAATTTGTATGTTCCTAGCCTCTTCTTTAAAATAATGTAAAATTGAATATAGGTATCGGGATTACTTTTCACATGATTTCAAATTGAATGCCATGAAAATACTTTATTTTCTACATAATTCTATTGGAGCTGTAGAATACGGGAAAAGGAAAGTTTAAATTGATTATGACGTCATAATGGATCTAGCACCGAAAAGACGGTCTAAAGTCATTTACTAGATCTTGACCTTAAGTCAACATTTCTAATACAATCCGACGTCAAGTCGAATGTTGATTGACGTATTTCAATCAAATTGTTAGGCCATTTTTTTCACTCAGAATTGTCCACGGATTTTTCCGATTTCCCGATCACGACAAGGAGCACAAGGTTTATAAAA